ATAGAGATCCAGCCTCACAGTTCAAAGTCTGCCTTGCTGATGGTATACGGGTGCATTAGTGCGTTCAGCATAAACAGCGTACACATCTGGAAAGGCTCCATCAGTGCAGAAACGTGTGTACAGTTTTTAGGTCATCTCTTTCTATTCAGACGTGTTTTTCATTGATTTATGTTTTATTAAAATTTTACGCAACAACCGAACTTCTTCAGGATTTGACTTGTAGACCTTAACAGCTGCAAGGATGAGCAGCCAGCATTTATATTTGATTAAAAACTGCAACTGAGACAGAAATCAAATCAGTCATTGTATGGTGGTGCTTCTGAGGATCAGAGCACGTCAAGATACTAAGTCATTGTGGCACCAGTATGACATAAACTTATTGGGCATAAAGTAACGTATGAGTGTTTACTAAAAGGTGAAGGATTTAAAATAAATATTGAACAGTCTCCAGCGGTCCAGCCTGGTGGTTGTTAAAGCCAATGAGGGAACACGGTTTTATAAAAACAACTTCTACAGGTTGATAAAGACACCCGGAGCATGTTTCAACCTCCCAGTGGATCAAATTACCAGCAGGTGCAAAGCCACAGCTGGAGACAGCAGAGATGTCTGTATGTCCTGACGAAGACACTCCTGCAGCTCAGTGCGCTGCTGCCAGGAGACGTCGGCTAAACTCAGCCCTTAGAGTCGTTAAGTTTCAGGGAAAAACATACATTTTACTACAGATTCAAACTGATGAGAGGCTCCTCGTTTCTTTCTTTTTCTTTCTTTCCTGTTTGAAACGTGCTTCATAAAATGTTCCTCGTACACAAAATAACTCTGTCCCCCACCCTCTTCAGGTAAATTCACTTGTATTGAGGCTCGTTTCCACCTGGAGCGTCAGATGGGTTACTACCTGATCCAGATGTACATCCCCTCGCTGCTCATCGTCATCCTGTCCTGGGTCTCCTTCTGGATCAACATGGACGCCGCGCCGGCCCGGGTTGGTCTGGGCATCACCACGGTGCTGACCATGACCACGCAGAGCTCCGGTTCCAGAGCTTCGCTGCCCAAGGTGACGAACGACCGAACACGTTAAACCGAAGGGTCAAACCTTTATGAAAAGTAAAGTTCAAAAAAACTGGATAAACATCTCGTATCAAATGGTGAGGTTAATAGTTGCAGAAACACGAGGAAGAAAAGAGATGAAATCAGAACTCATTCTTTGATTTGATCCAATAAAAGCCCAACATTCTTGAAGGAATGCATATTTCCCACCACATTTCGTATCAGTTTTAGACTGAGTTCATCTTGGCTTTGTGCATGACATTAACCACGAGGATCTCACAAACTGTTTGCACTCAATAGAGTATGAGCTGGGGATGACTCTCAGCTACTACCACACCAAAATCCAGCACAATACAGTAATCCCTCGTTTATCGCTGGGGTTACGTTCCAGACCTGTGAAAGGTGAAAATCTGCAAAGTAGGGACGTTACATTTATTTTAGTATGTTTAAGTATATTTTAAGTCTTTCTAAACCGTTCCCACACTTGTAATGGTCTTAACAATGTTCTAAACTCTCTAAATGTTCTCTAAAGAGAGCAGTGATGCTACGGTTACTGAGCCAATCCCGAGGGCAGACTGGCCATCGGGAGCACCGGGACATTTCCCGGTGGCCTGGCCCGCTCAGTGATCACCAAGGGGCTGGACCAAAGGCTCAGTTCAGGTCATGCTTGATTATTTTAAATAAACAATCCATGCCGCTCACTCAGGTATCCACCTCACTCCCTGAGCAGTAGCGATATGGAAAAACAGACCCGGCCCCCTCCTTTCTCTTTCTGAGGCTGTCTGCTACAGCAGAGCAGAGACACACGTGTGCTCAGGGAGCTTCAGTGAGGTGGATACCTGAGTGAGCGGCATGGATTGTTTATTTTAAATAATCAAGCGTGACCTGAACACAGCCTTTAGTCCAGCCCCTTGGTGATCACCAAACGGGCCAGGCCACCGGGAAATGTCCCGGTGCTCCTGATGGCCAGTCTGTCACTCAGCACAATGCTCTGGTTAGTCGTCTTCCATCAATCAGCCAATCGTGTGTCATGTACAATCGTTGAAAACCCGCAATACAGTGAGTCAGCGAAAGTTGAACCGCAAAGTAGCGAGGGACTACTGTATCTGTAAAAATGACTCACTCATAGCCTTTTGGATTTTACAAGCTTGATTAGCTGTGCGTCTTGAATTGGCTCAATTTCAAACGTTAATTAGTTGTAGTTGTTCCTCTTTAAACTGTCGGTGAACCCACGTGCAGGTAGAGTCAGGAGACTCAGGAGTAAAAATATTAATTACTTTGTTTTAACAATAGCAAAACAAAATGCTGACTGTGCAAAAAAAAAAAAAAAAAGTTATGTTTGGAGAGGAGACAAGCAGAGCAGACACAGAACATGAAACCTACGAAGGATAATGCCCGGACACAGGAGGAATGAAAAGACTTTAAAGAGAAATGCTGACGAGACAGAATGAGAAACACCTGGAGTGATTAGATGTACAGACAGGTGAGACCGGAGCTGAACAACAAGGAAGTGGACACAGGGAGGTGCATGAAAACTAAGAAAAGGGAACATAAACCAGAAATCCCACATCATCATTACAATTTGAAAGTTTTTTTGAATTTCTCTCGTGGTTTATGTTATTTTGCTAACAGTCGAATGCACACAGACATGAGGAGAAACATTATCACCCACCTTTCTCCTGCTGATGTGGGTGACAGAGTGCAGGAAAAGACAAGAAGCAAATAGCTTTAACACACACACACACACGCAGTCTTTGTTGACGTTGGAGTCCTTGCACACTGAAATGTGAGCAAGTGATCCCTCTGCAGTTCAGCTGCCATTATAACGATCACACAGCACAGCTTAGTTAACGTGGGCACAACGAACATCCTTCACACACTCAAACACACACCTGTGTAAAACACACACACGTTTCCTGCTCCGTCATGTCAGGCGAGGGAAGGAAAAATGGAACCACTTCACAATAAGAGTCTTTAAAGTGATACTTTGAAAGTGTCGCATGTGAGTTAGTAAACACGTTATTAAGCATTAATAAAGCAGTTATAAGGCACTGTTCATACATCAAAACAGGCTCATTATTTGGCAAAATTAAGCGCTGTACATTTTCGTTAAGATCATTTATTGCTAGATACATTTTTTTTTTTTTTTTTTTTTACTAAACTTGTGAAAAAAGCCAAATTCCATCTACAAATGCTTGTAGTCCTAACGTGGTAACAAAGGTTTGGCGTTTAAAAAATAAATGTTGACAAATACAAGGTAAAAAATGGAGAATATATGATTGGATAATTGTTGGGTCTAGGCCTGTCGCGATAAACAATAAATCGATTAATCGCATGATAAATGAAAATTATCTACCTCATTTTCATTTATCAACTTTATCATTTCTTCATGTCTCTCTCTTTCTACTGAAGACACTGGATGACAAAAGGCTCAACTCTTGTGCTCCTCACAGACCCCTCCCTTTCTCTTTAAAATCCGTTTTAACCGTCCAAAATCATGTTTTTGGATTGTTAAAAGCAGCTAAGCTGAGAAGCTAAGCTAACAAGCCGAGCTTGGGAAAAAAACTCGCTCTTGTCGAAGCTCCAAAATTCACTGTTGAAACGTGTAAAATGTTGTTTTTCTCTGCAAAAAGAAGCTGAGAACTTGTTTACTGATTTTTTTTTGATAAACAGCTTTATGTGAAAAATGTTATGCTAAGGAGCTCAAACCACACCGAGCGTCCGCCATTTTGAGAGCCGAACATAGAAAGGAGAGACAGCCCATGTCACGTCAAAGGGCCACCCTTCCATTTTTCTTAAATAGACACGCTGCTCGCTCCCTCACTATCCATCCTTCAGTTCAAACAGTCTTATACTGCCATCCGGTGGTCAAAAAATGTACTACACTCCAAATTAACCATTATTTCTTCTTAAATTTGACAATAATTACTAATTATTGTCAAATTTCCAACAATATTATCGTTTATCGCAATAATTTCTGAGACAATTAATCGCCCAGCAAAATTTGTTATTGTGACAGGCCTAGTTGTGTCACTATTTGGCACGCAGCAATGTTTCATCTCTACTGGTTTAAAATGTATTTACAGCTCAATTATTAACGACTTTAACTTTTAATCAATCATTTATGAAATAATTCTTATGTCTAAAAAAATTTTAGCAATGAAGAAGAGCTTTGTTTTCATTTCTTTGTCAAGAAGGCGTGTAGCTGCTAAACTTTTTAAGACCACAAATCACTTTAATTAGAAAAAAACGGTAATATCTAATTAAAAAATATGGAATTTAAGGCCGCAGTTTTTAATTTCCTGTCTTTGACGGCGTTGTTCAGCTGCAGCAGGACGTTCTCAAAAAGCTGGACGGTTTCATTTAATTAGCGCTCAGTTTGTCCTCGACGGACAGTCCTCGACGGACAGCGTCCTTTTGTAGCTCCTGAATGGAAACACGTGGCTCGCAAAAAATTTTAACAATTAGGTCCCATCCGAAATGTCTGATTTGTTTGTGTTCAAATCCAGAATGTATTATCTGATGTCTGTGTATTTGTCCAAAAATTGTAAATGGGCTTTTTTTTTTTTTTACGTTTGCATTCAAGCTTTTATAAAATAATACAGATTAATAATAGAGAAGCTGAGCTGAGCGTGTGCTTCGAGGTTTTCTCTGTTTTAGATTTGATTCAAACGAGAGAATGAATCGTTTTGCTGTTAGTCTGTTTTCCTCTCAGGAATCAAACAGACTGAAGAGCAGAGGTGTCACACAGTCGACCAAAGACAAATGTTTTCACAGCCAAGATGCTCCGTCATCCCGGCGTTTGCAGAAAAGATCCAAAACCGTAGTTTAATTGGCTTTCAAACGGCTGCTTGTGGGTTTTCTCCGAGTGTGACGGAGGAAGGATCTCCTCTCAGGATGTAATCAGTGTGGAGATGGAGGCTTGTAACGACAAGATGGGTGAATAATGTTCCTTGGCAGCAAGATAACAATCAGACAATGATCCAGACGGACTTCGTTTAGCCTCTATTATCTGGACAGTTCTGACCCGGTCCATCTACAGCACTTCTTTTTATTCAGTCAGAGTTTCTTTATTGTCAGTCGCACCCCGTGTGGTGGAATGAGATTGTGTACTCAGGGTTCCAGTTGCATCCAACAATAAAATGTAAAAGAAAAACAAATCAACATCTAAGATATGAACTAAGAAAAACATCAATTAAAAATATGCCAAGCACTAATAGCATAAAAACAATAAATACAATATAATTTGATTAGTATTATTATTATTATTATTAGGGTGAAAACTGAAGTGAAAGCACAACTTGTGTTTTACAGAATATTTGTAGACACACAGTCTCCCTATATTGAACAGCTCAAGTTGGTTTTGGTAAATAAATAAAAAAAAAACAATTGTGAGAATGAGTAAAAGGTGCACAGGTAACTTGTAGAAGTCACATTAGCATCAGGTAAATTCTATGTTTGTAAAATCTCAGGATATAAATTCGGAGCAGAGTCTCCAAACAGCCGTGGGTGTTTCTGAACTGTCCGGGCCAAATGTTCTGACGAGCGCTGAGTTAGTCAAACACTTGGAGTTTCAAGAAAATGGATGTATTCAAACAAATCTTTAAAACTTAAGAATGTAACGATCTGGCCGTGGTTTGAACCCAAAATGCAGGGAGGACTCTAATAACTCAGGTTAAAAGTAAAAGTTATTTAATGAACATAAATAAAATTGCAGATGTGGCAGCAACAACTTATACGAACAATGAGAGTAAAACTACGGAAGACAAAACGAGGACGTGGAGCAGAACAGGAACACGGAGCTTCATGAGACGATGGAGACGCAGACTTTTATACACACACTAACGACAGACAAAAGACAAACAGCTGGGAGAGGCAACGGGTGGTGGCAGAAGCTAATTACATGAGGGAGCAATAGCTGGGACAGACCACACGATGGAGACACACGAGGAACAGAGTCAAACAAGGAGCAGGAAAGGAAATAAAGACGAGTAACACACACGGAAAACAGACAAAAGGACAGATTATGTCAAAGAATTAGGCAAACGGGACATTAGAGGCGGAGAAAGAAGTGAAAGGTAACTAATTGGAGGACCTGAGGAACTCCACAGCAGAGAATCAGTTTATGTTTTACAAAATACGCAAAGAAAAAAAAAAAACGTGCAGGCATTAAAGATAAAAGAAACGACTTTTACGTTTGCTTGCAGGCATTCAGGAAGCTTTCAACACATGCAAGAAGGTCCTCTGGGCAGATGAGACAGAAACTAATCCTTTACAGCATTAATGGAAACTCAAACACATTTTATCATGGTGAGGCACGGTGGTGGCTGCAGCATGCTGAGGGAACACTTTGAAACTGGTCAGAATTTGAACAAAAAAACTGCAAATTCTTGAACAAAACCTGCTTCTATCTTCTAAGAATTGAGACAAATTGAACCTTTCAGGTTTACCTCAGGTGTACGGCAGAAACAACGATGGCGTTATTAAAAAGAGAACAACTGGACCGGCCAGCATGAAGGAGCTGCTTAGTTTAAGAATAAGACAAAAAGAAAAGTGGACAGACACACACTTCTAAAAACATGCATTTGTTATTTTACATTTTGTTCCGTGTTTCATTTGAGACTAAGATTAGATCCTGGACTAAGCATCTGCAAGTTTTACTCACGAGTGTCTCAACTTTCTTTTTTCATCTTTAGGAAAACATAAAATCAGAGAATCTAAGACTAAATTTCTGACAGAACAATTTTTTTTGCCCTTTTCCTTTAAAAGCGGTTCATAAGTTTCACATTTCCTGCAGTTTTAGGATAAAACTGTGAAAACTTTATGGACGGGTTTGTTAGATTTATGTCAAGAAACGAGAAGCTAAACAAACGTCACATTTCAGACTCGAAGCACAACTCTGATCGGTTCTGTCCTCCCGTCTCTGCCTCGCAGGTGTCCTACGTTAAAGCCATCGACATCTGGATGGCCGTGTGTCTGCTCTTCGTCTTCTCGGCCCTGCTGGAGTACGCCGCCGTCAACTTCATCGCCCGCCAACACAAGGAGCTGCTGCGCTTCAGGCGGAGGCGACGACACATGAAGGTGAATGTTTAGTGCAGCTGCATGCTGACCGCCTGTGGTCAAGAGGTTTGGATCGTGATCCCAAGAATGAGATCCTGGATCCAAGCGGCTGAAATGAGCTTCCTCCGTAGGGTAAGGAGCTCCACCTCAGGGGGGGAGCTGATTTGGATGCCTCCCTTTGGGGGGTTTCCAGGCATGTCCCGCTGGGATAAAACCACTGGTCAGACCCAGAACTTGCTCGAGGGATTATAAATCCCCTCTGGAGGAGTTGGAGAGAGTCACTGGGGAGAGGCCAATCTGGGTCTCTCACCTGGACCTGTAGTCCCACAACCCCACCACACACCCCGGTCCTCTCCACCGGAGCCTCGGAGCCCCCTCAGGCCGTGCAGGGCGTCATCTCCCCGGCTCCGAGCTCCGCTGGTCACCACGGAGGATCATCTGAGCTGCTGACTCGCAGAAGGCCGTTGCCCAGACCCCGATACTGGCAGACAGGCGGACCGGGACGGGTCTGGGACGGACGGTGGGAACGATTTTTTAAATATTTTATGTATAAAAAAATATATATATTAGTTAAGATTAAAATAAATAAATAAACGGTGCCGGCATGAAGTCCTGTTTTCACGTTAATTACTTTATTAAATAATCTGTTAAAGTTAACTCAGCTGAAAAATCATAAAAAGACAAAATTATTGGATCTCTGGAATATTTCCCTCAAACATGTTTAAAGAAGAGACGCAGCCTTTAGTTCAACTTTATTCTAACTCACAGATGTACAAATCACAATACAAGAAGTTCATTAAACATATATATACATATGTTTAATTTGATCGTTTTAATAATCTGTATTCTTTTTAATTTACCAGAAACAGATAAATAAATTCTCATCCTGTACTGAAACCTGTTCCAGCGTGTCACCGCCACCAGCTGGTGAGGTGCGCGACGTCAATTTGAACGCCGCCCACTGGAACCGGTACTGAAAGCATAATGGAAGCACAACGTGTACCATACCGAGCCGAGTCAAACCGAGCTGCGCTAGTACAAAAAGGTACTATGGAAAAGGGGCTTTAGGGGCCGGCTGGGAAACTGTTAATGATCTAAAAACAATTACTTCCTGGTTCAGCTATTTTGAGCTGAAAATCAGTTTTACTTGTTGGAGGACGGCTGGATCACCGTGGTAACATAATTAACTGTCTGTGAAAAAGAAAAGCTGTTTTCATATTTTGCAGGATTTTCTGAGACAGCCATTAAACTTTAACGTTTAATAATATATTTAAGTCATCAGTACATTAAGTACATCAGAAATGGACCTGTTGATGTGCTCAGTGTGCGAGCAGCTTAGCGGTTCGAGTGATTCCCTGTTTTTATCTGGTTCACGTTCAGTTTCAGAGCACTTGAACGTGTCGCTGAGTTTACAGTAGTTATAGCAACAGACGCACAAAGTAAAAACACCTCAGCCTGTATTCATTTACAGTAACAATGTGTGTGATTCATGCAAGAGGTGCGTAACATTACTGGACGAGCGGCGATGAGCAGCTGTCCTCTCTTCAGTTTAGGTAACGTCTGCAGGCGTGTGCTGCTCTGACGGCAGCAGCTTCACACAGACCGCCGCTCCTCTTGTGTTCATGCAATCTTAACGTTTTTGCACCCGGCTACCTTCGTCTTAACTCCTTTTTCCCCTCGTGTGCACATCATTGATTGCACATGGAGAAGAATCACGTGCATTTGTAATCGTTTGCATTTTTAAACGCAGGCGTGTCTCATAAACTGTAAAAAACATGCTTGAAGTCGTGCATATGCACAGTTCTGGGCTATTTTCTGCCACGTTTCAGTAACAAAAATCCATGCTGGTGTTTGTACACGAGGCCAAGTCTGTGTTTTCAGGAGTAAATGTATAAGAATCCTCGGGGGGGTTGGTTGTTTTGTGTTTGAAACACAAGTCAGCTTAGTTTGTGTGCTGCTCGTTGATGCATCCTCCGGCCTTCTGAAAAATTCAGTCCTTGTTTGATTTCGGCTCCGGGCGGCGCTCATCGTTGTGCGGTAGAAACATGAGGTGTCCACGTTTTATAGACGGAGCGCTGATTGAAGGCCGAGCCGCTGAACGAACACAGAACCGGCCTCATAATGGATCCACGATCCAAAACGCGCACACGCAAAGACCAAAACCTTCTGGAAGCTCGTTGAAACGCAGCTGTGCTTTGAAGCTGCGACGACGGGCTCTCAGCTCGGAGTTACGGATTTTAATCCCAAAATAAAAGACTTCAGCGTGTTAAATGGACATATCAGATTATATTTGTGTTAAACGTGATTTAATAATTCAACACGTAAGGTTGTTTCTTTTAGTTAAATAAACTTTATTTTTCTTTTAAAGATTACGTTACAAAATTAAACACGAAGTAAAATCATAAAAACACAATAGGAAAAGAGAAAAATTTGACCGTTTAACAGTTTGTTAATTATTGTCAGTAATTCAAGTTAAATTCATTCTTTTTATGGTCATTTGAGAATTGAGCAGGGGTGCCACTAAGGGAGGTCAAGTGGGGGTCAATGGCCACCTCTAAAACAATTGGCAGCCCCCCATTGACCCCCATTGGTCAGACAGTTTTATCCTCTTTAGTCCTGAACTTTGCTTGGTGCCCATTTTTAATTTCCTCCAGCCTTTTAGGATTAGTAAAACCACGTGAGCCAAAAATAGTAATAATAATTTAAAGCAGTTAAGAGTTGAAATATAAATTTTATTTAAGATTTAAATCTTTATCATTTAAACTTTTTTCAGCCTAATTCAGTAAAAAATGTGCTCTCTCCACTTCTGGTAATTTAAGCTTCTTTCTGTCTTTTTAGCTACTTTTCAGCTGTTTTTTGCTTATTTCAGCTCCTTTTGGATAATTTACACTATTTTGTGGTAATTTCTGCTTCTTTCAGCCTAATTAACTTCTTCATGCTAATTTCAACGTGTGTTTTTTTTCAGCTAGTTTTAGCTTTTTCTGCTCTTTCAGCTACTATTTAGCTCTTTTGATGCTATTTTTAGCTTTTTCAGGTAATTCCACATTTTTTAGCTTATTTCAGCTCTTTCCACTTCCTTCTGGTAGCTTAAGCTTCTTTCTGCCTTTTCAGCTACATTTCAGAATGCATTTTTTAGCTTATTTCAGCTGTTTTTCAGCAAGTTCTTCTGCATTAAGCATTCACGCTATTTTTGCAGGAAATGCAATTTCTCTAGTTTTGTTTATGTTGAGTTTTTTTTTTCTAATCTCTTAGTTTGTTTCAACTTTAAAGCATTTATTAAATCAGTTCTCTGTGCGTCAGGGTGTGGGGGGGTTGGTCCCAGGCGGCTGTACTGAATAAGGAATAAAGCTGTCAGGTCTGCAGGGAACATCGATGCGTCGGCTGATTGTGAAGCGGCAGCCCGTGTGGGTGCAGGGCAGAAAAACACAAACGCCCACGAGAAATGCAATGATGTGCCGGTAGGAGTGAAGAAAACACGCATGTGGATTCTTTGGCGCTGTCGTGTAACGGGGCGTCGAAGAGTTTGGTGTTTGTGACTCAGCCGCCTGATTAAATCTGACGTGTTGTGTCACGTGTCGAGCATGGCAGACCTGTGCAAACACGATCACGCTTTAACGAGGACACCGTGTCCTCGTAAAAACAGAAAAGTGACTGTGAAGTGAGGACGCCATCATACCTCAGGATAGAGCAAATGATTTAGTGATGAACATCACAGATGTTTTACTAATTTACAGTCTCGCGAGGAGTTGACTAAAACAGTGGAATTGATTTTTCGATCCGTGAGCCATTTGTTTGCAGATTGTTGTGTTTTAATTTCAGTCCCAGCTCCACCTTGAAGTCTGTCGCTCCTGCAGCGCATCTCACCACTGTCCTGCTTTAGCTTTAGCTAGAAGATTTAGGCCCCGCCCACATGTCCGTCCTCGTCTTTTGTTCACTGTCACTGCACGATCCGTACCGTCAGCTCATTTGCGCATGCGCTAAAATAAATACTTTTGAATATGCTGGAGAACACGTATATTACATACACTTTGATATTAATAAAATGTATTTATGAAACATGTCATGTTTATTAATATTAAGTAAAATATCTCTTTCTATACATTGATTAATTTTCCTAGACAGTGTTATAATTCCATTTATGAATCAGAACCGTCTTCATTTACTTTAAAAATTATAATTAAGTAGAAAAATGTGTATTGGTTGATTGATTGGACTGTAATGTATTTACGCTGTCAATGCGCCCTCTGGTGGACCCGTTCCTGACAACACCTTTATTTTAATAATGGTCATCTTTTATGAGATTTACTGTAGCAACCGATCCTCCTGCCATACTTTGCTATCCACGTCTCCTGCAAAAGTTTTATTTTCCAGGAAAAATTGCAGGTGACGAAAGTCAAAAGACTGATAATCCATCCGTTTTGTCATCTGCAGCGTTTAAAGGCCTCCCGGAAGTATTTCTTTTAGTGCACGCGCAAATGAGCTGACGGTGCGGCTCGTGCAGTGACGTTCACACTTTGCTCTGTGTCTCCCATCCTGTCTTTGGTGTATTTTGTGCAGCATTACTAGAGATGCACCGATCCACTTTTTCCACTCCCGATACCGATACCTTGTGTTTGTTCTCTGCCAATACCGATCCGATACCAAACTAATACAGAAAGTGCTAAATTTCGTTCAACAAACTCAGCGTGCTCTTTAGGGTGAAATCTCTGGAGATGCTTGATTAAGTTGTTAGTGTTATAGCTGGAAGTTTTAGTGACACCCCTTGGAACCGTCGCTGCGCACGAATTGCACGTAGCTGTCGAATGTGTTGGCTGATGTAGTGTAAAATAGTTCCAGGTGGCTGATCCTTTCGCTCGCTCCGTTTTGAAAACAATCTGTGCAGCGAGTTCGCTAGTGCATGATGTCACTCAGAGCACAAATCATAGAATCAGAGTGAATAGATCTTCCCAGTCATGGATCGGTCACATTGTCACCCATACCCGATTCAGAATTTTTTTTTATATCGGTGCATCTCTGAGCGT